ACTATACGAGGTGTGTTCAAAAGTACCCCGGAATTTTTAACATTTCGCGGGTCTGGAGTGTCTGATTGTCAAAATTTTTTTTTATTGTGTTGGTATACATGCCCCTAAAGTATGATGAAATTTCATCTCTATATCACTGTTACTTTGTCTGTGGTAGTCGCTAAGGTTCGACGTGTTTTTCTGAGCTCGGCGATTTTTACAATGGAAGAATTGAAAAGTCAAAGAATTTGTATTAATTTTTTGCGTAAAAAATGAATAAAGTGTAACAAGTGTGTGAAATTTTACAAAAAGCCTATGGTGAGTTCTGCTATGAAAAAAACAAGTGTTTCGAGTGGTATAAAAGCTGTTTCCAAGATGGCCGCGAAGACGTTAAGATGACGAACGCTCCGGTTCGACCCAGCACGTCAACAAACGATTAAATGTGAAAGAAGTGAAAAAAATGGTTATGAATGATCGCCGAATCACAATTAGAGAATTGCTGATAAGTTGGCATACAATTTTGGCTCATGTCAAACATTTTTTCAAATGTTTTGGGCATGAAACGAGTGGCAGCAAAATTCATTCCAAAACTGCTAAATTTTGACCAAAAAAGCAATCGCATGAACATCGCTCAAGAGCTGTTAAATGACGTCAACAACGATCCAAGTTTGCTTGAAAGGGTCATAACTGGTGATGAACATGGGTGTACGGTTATGATGTCGAAACCAAAGCCCAATCGTCCCAATGGAAGAGCCCAGGTGAGCCAAGACCGAAAAAGCACGTCAAGTTCGATCGAATGTCAAGGTTTGCTTACTGTTTTCTTTGATTATAACGGCATAGTGCATCAAGAGTTCTTACCACAAGGTCGTACGGTTAATAAGGAGTATTACCTTGAAGTGATGCGACGTTTGCGTGAAGCAATCCGAAAAAAACGCTCCGATTTATGGAAAAAAACAATTCATGGCTGTTGCACCACGATAACGCACCTGCTCACTCGTCGTTGCTTGTTCGTAATTTTTTGGCCAAAAACAATACCGTAGTCATGCCCCAACCTCCATATTCACCAGATATGGCTCCGTGTGACTTTTTCCTATTCCCAAAGTTGAAGAGACCCATGAAAGGACGGCGGTTTTCCTCGATTGAAGAAATAAAGGCCGAATCGCTGAGAGTGCTCAAGGACATATCAAAAAGTGAATATCAAGGGTGCTTCGAAAATTGGAAAAAACGCTGGCATAATATTATATCTGGGGGGGACTACTTTGAAGGGGACCACATTAATGTAGACGAATAAATAAATATTTTTTTGAAAAAACGAAAATTCCGGGTACTTTTTGACAGACCTCGTATATTTACAAAAAGCTCGATTGATTTCTAATTTATAGATTAACTGATTAATATTTCACATGTTGATAATGAAATAATAGAATAATATAACATTTGAATAAATTATTAGTTGGTCATTAAACGCTTTTATGTATATAACTGAAGACTTTAAAAAATATATAGATGAATTGATTATTAATTAATATTTTTGGTTATTTAATACAAAATATGCTAAAATATTTAAATAAAATTATTCGTTAATCAATTAATATTTCTATATGAAATTATAAATCAAAATAAATGTTGACTTACTGTGTTCAGAACATGAAGTGGAGCCCAGCAGATGAAAAACTCTACAATTATCACAAACAGCATTCGAATTACCTATTGAAAAAAAAGAAAAGAAATATCGTGAAATTGATTTTGAGACAAAATTTCATTAATTATTAACTTCCCGAAGGAGAAGTTTATGTTTTCATCGAAAAATCCGACTAATTTGCTAATTTTATGTTTTCTCAACGTTTCAAGCCATTCTGAATCGTGTGTGTGTGAACAGATTATTTGCCGTAAATCTTCGTTTTCTCCCAAACGGCTGGACCGATTTCCATAATTTAAAAGCCATTCGTATACTTGATGAAGACTAGCGTTTCTTTGTAAATCGCAGAATAGTGAAAACTTTTTCGTTTCCTTTTTAGCCCGCAATTCTGAATCGATTTGTAAATTTAAAAACCGTTCGAAAGATATTGGTTGGGAATTGTGCTGATTAGTTTTTGGTAAAGATCGGCTGGGCCATTTTCTTGTAAAAAAAATCGACGATTTTTATGATTATTTTTACGGTAAATACCATAGTCTTGTAAATCCTACTAAAATATTGCGGCCCAATGACAAGTCATTTAATTTAATCGAATTTCTAATTTTAAAAATCCTTCAAAGTCCTTTTCTCAAAAACGCCTTAACCGATTTCAGAAATTTAAAAGCCATTTGAAGTATCTCAATGAGGACTATCGTTTGTCAGTTTTGTGAGACGATTTGCCGAGCCGTTACTTTGTAATTTGAAAAAAGTGTTGAACTTTTCATCCACATTTAAGCTCATACTACAGAATCGATTTTAAAAACTCAAAAACTGTTCAAAAGATATTAGTTAGGAAGGATACTGATTAATTTTATGTGAACATCTACCGAGCCGTTTTTCTGCAATTAACTGTTGAAAAAAAAATTTAAGCCAATTTTAATGGAACTTTTATTGGCCATATATATTATGGTCTTATAGAACTTACTGAAATATTACGGCCTTACGACAAGTAGTTTAATTTTGAAAATTTATCAAAGTTTGAGAAAATGAGTAGTTTTTTGACGTTTGTTAAAATTAAAAATAAATGATTTAGTTGGTACAACGATAAATTACTTGGTCTTGAACATAGTAAACCATTAAAGTCCTACGGAAAATGGTTCAATTTCAAAAATGGTTCAAAATTTATAGATTTTTGAAAATTTGCTTTTTGAAAATACTCCGAGTTAACGTGTTCGTTCGTTCATTTTCAATGATGTGTAATAAATCCACTCGGAATACTTATAATCACTCATAAATTAATTTATTTTTTATTTATTAAGTCGATTGTTTACACTTTTCGGAAAGTTCATGTAACTTGCCTCAAGGCAAAATACCAATACCAACTAGTATTTTATTTAATTCATACTGACTAAACCAGTCATATAGATAATTTATCATAATTCACATTTAGAATTTCGAAATAGCTTTAAACATTAACATCGATCCTAATTACCAGGAAGGTCCTACAGCAACTATGTAATACTTGTACAAAATAATTGTGTATATATATGCCTATATATATATATATATATATATTTATATATATATATATATATATATATATATATATATATATTTATTATTTGCCACCAACCACGAATACTGTCAACATTTCAACTCTTGTTTACTGAATAAGTTATAAGATCAGTTCATCAATATTGAGAAGGATTAAGTCTACATTGCAACCAACGAGATTATTGCAAAGATTGTGGTAGTTGTTGTATTCAATATTTCTTGATTCGTGTCCTCGAATACTGCAAATATATTCAGAATATAATCTAATTTATTTTACGTACTGACCTTTTTCTTGGCCTCAATGCTTTTGCACATGTAATTAGATCTGATTGCCTGCCGGGTAAATGTGTAGTGTGATGATACTTCATGGGGCATCATGGGTTCAGATAATGCCTCTCGTCCTCTTCTTGAATGACGATGAGATTTCTTTTCTGGTATTCTCACCTAATGACAACAAAACAGTGTTCATAAAATATAATAAAAAAACAGTTAAGTTTCTTGTTGCATGATATTTTATAGTTGCTTTCGCTACTCCTGAAGTCTTGATGCGCAATTGGAAATATTCAGAAATGCATGTGAGTTTGTGAAAAAAATATTTATTTTATACTTTTATCATTTATTTAAAAACTTTTTGTTAATTTTATTTTTTATTTGGAGAAACGTGTTAAAACTCTAATAATTCAATAAGTAATCTAAAAGTGTTATATATAATTATTTATATAAATACTTTTATCGGTTTTCCTCATGCATTACAATTTTAATAATTTGTCTACATTTCTAATGTAAATAAGCTAATGTTTTTTTACTTTATAATAGTTTAAATAAATGTAGTATTGAAATTAGTGGGGCGCATGGCAACATGCCTTAAGGCAAATTGCTGGAACTTCCCGTACCAAAATTTTTAAAACTTAAAAACGATTAACATTTTTGAAAAAAAAAATTACTTCGAAAAACTTAGATTTTTGAGAAACTATAATTTTGATAAGAAATTACCTTTTTTGAAAAAAAAAAATTTATTGAAAAAAAAAGTTTTCTTTATTTTGACATATTTTGGAAATTCTGAACTTTTTTTCGCCGTCTAATGGATGAACGTTGGTACGGAACCCATAGGAATGTAATCAAAATTTATACTTATTGTTAAAATATCTATAAAATTTCTGATAATTTGATGTGCATATGTCTAATGATCATTTTTGACCGCCAAATGGTATTTTTTTTACTTTTTTCATTAGATCTTCGAAACCGCTAGACTTGCCTTAATGAAAATTTTATCAATTCTTCATATTGTCAATGCAAGTAAAATGTTTTCTGAATTATTAAAAAACTATTCGATGCTCCGTTCTCCTAAAAGCTGAGTTACGAATTTTGGCACTTTTTGCCCCGTATCTTTGGAACGGCTAGGCCTACTTCCAACAAATACTAATCCGCACGTCTCCTTATCAATACGAATCGAATGTTTTTTGAATTATGAAAATCGGTTGATCGGTATTCCTGAAATCTTCGACGAAAATTTGTATCCGCACACACGCATACACACACATACATTCTTTTTTTTCGAAGGTATGCCAAAATACTCAGAAACTTTTGAAACGTGAAGATATATAAAAACTTTCATTTTTGATTTTTTTGCGATTACTATAACTTGCCCTACGGTAAGTTAATAAATATATTCTGAAGAGTTGTATGAACTTTTCAATTGGTGTAATTAATTAAGTTACCAAACATAAAACTAGAAATATCGATATTTAGCAATTTAGATCAAATTTCCAATTGTTTATTTTAAAAATAAAGTTTTCGCTGTCACTAAAAACTAACCAATTCAATTTCCATTTGTTTTCTTTCGAAAAAACTAATTATATCTGTAATTATGGTAATTATAAATGCAACAAAAAACCGTTATATGTCCTAAAAGCGCGCCTAATTACTTCAAACATAAATGAATTTTTATAATTTAATCACTTGCAGGACTATATTGATTATAGACTATCGATTGCCGAGTTTCATTGAAAACTCCAAATATGTTTTTTAATATTTAATTACGAAGTAACGTGTTGGCTGATGTTTGCCAAACAATAATGAACACGATCCTTATCTGATATTTTGGTAGCGGTTTTACATTTGTAAAAATATGCACAAAAACTTTAGCACAAAATTAATAATTGAAAACCAATGGAGGCCTTATCAAATTTCATCGAATGGCTTTTAAATTTTTGAAATCAGTGCAGTCGTTTATGAAAATTAAATTTAGGCTCACATACATACACACTTATATTTATGCCAAATGTAGTGTTTAATTATTTAGAATGATTTAAAACATCGAGGAAAAAGAAATTTAGCAAATCCGATTTTTAGCAAAAACATAAGGTTCTAGTTTAGGCGGTTCAAAAGTAGATGCAATAAATATATTAAAAGTGTGAAAAAGCTATATGAAAGTGTGAAAAAATTCACGCCATGCCAAACTATATATTGATCGACTCATGGATGTAATTAGAACCTTTTTTATTTCGCTAATTACTGACATGTATTTTTTTTAAGAATGGTCAAAACTATTCTTTTTTGTCGCATGAATAGAATACACTTCGTGCTATTTTTATATTACATATAAATGCACAGATGTAAATTAAATAATAAATAAGTAAAATACCCAATTGGTACTTATGTACCAATCCAACATTATATAGTAGGGTAGAGCGGGGCTAGTTGAGCATAGGGGCAAGTTGAGCAATCGAAATATCTCGAAAACTATTCACCGTCCGTTTAGGCGTTATATGGCGGAAAGATAGAGGTTTGGGAAAAATAAACATTCCGCGATCGCTAGTGGCCGCTGGACAAATGAGTGAGGCTCACGGGCGTTTTGTTTCTTTTGAGACCAAAAAGTAAAAACGTAATTTATCACGAGTTTTCGTCTGGTTTAGTCAAATGTTATTTATTTTTAATCAGGTAAATGTTATTCTTCAATATAATTATAGTACTTTTAATGTGCACAGAGATTCTGGCTATAATTCTCACGGTTTTTTTATAAACTCACTTTTATTTTGAAATTCCCAGTTGGGGTTAGTTGAGCATAGTTGCTAAACTTGTTCTGTCACTAAGACAATTATCATTAACTTCCAGAAATTGATCATTATTTTTAAGATTTAAGCTAAGTCTATGAGTAATAAAATAAAGAAATAATGATTTTAAACAAAAATACTGAATATAATGGTAAAATAATTCCTAAGCTACGATATTGTTCTGTTGACTCTACTTTTCGTTAATTATTCAAAACAAATTACTATAAGTTTTGTTTTCTCTGTCAATAAAGACTATAAATATAGAACTGGTTATTAAAAACTTATTTTATTTCATTACTAATCGACATTGAACCTATGATTTTATTATACTTTTTTAGTGCTCAACTTGCCTCACCTATGGGGTACATTGAGCATACTTGACTTTTTGCATCTAAACAGCTGTAGCTTTTAAATTTTACTTATTACCAAAAAGTAGTATTAACACTTTTGTTAAGCGATAAACAACAAATCCATTAAGCCATATAGCAATTTATTGAGACTTTTCATTGAGGTGCTACATCCGTTTAAGTAAAAATTTGCTCAACTAGCCCCGCCCTACCCTATACATTTTATATATTAAAATATATTTTTTAAAAATTGAAAAAGTCTTAGCTTCAATGTATGTTATTAGTATTACTCGTATATTTTCACGTTAAGGAATGTAACTTAAACGCTTGTGATTTTGATAGAGATCTATCATATCTAAAACAAATGTATGTATAAGTTTTACTTAGAAACCGATGTTAATATTTAATGGCAAGTCTAAAATGTTAATAACAGTCAAATATCTTGTAAAATTATACAATTACAATATGTACAGACCCGTGATAAGCCCTTCATCAGCCATTTCTTGACTGCTTGAGTTGCACCAAAGTTGTCTTTGTCTTTCGGCATTCTCTGTTTGCAATCCTGGTCCTTTGATCGTACGGCAACTTTATTGTTTGATAATATAGTACTTCCATTTATTGAAATCTGCTCGTATTTGGAATTTTCCGATCTCGAGGTATTAATAGGCGTGTTCACCTGCGTTTCCGATAGAAGGTTATTTGCCGGATAACTGTCTGAACGTCTCACACCTGTAATTGAAAAAAAAAATACTTTTATATACACATTTATACATATACAAACACACATATATATATATATATATATATATATATCTTAAATATATAACTTTTTTATTGTAGATATATACATATATATATATATATATATATATATATATATATATATATAAAATTTTTAAAATTTTTGAATTTTTTTTCATGCTATTTCCATACAAAACTTTGGTTGAATTGCGCTCTATCTAAACGTTAATATTAAGAGCTAAAACTTTCAGAGAGTTGGTTTTTATCAATTTGTAACCATTTGAGCCCCTGGGAGCAAGGAAAGTCGAAAATGACCATTTTAAGGACCACCCTAATATATATATATATATATATATATATATATATATATATATATATATATATATATATATATATATATATATATACTATATGTATTACAGTGTGTTACGAAGTCTTGTGAAGTCAAAAACATTTACAAATTTTCTCGAAAAAACGAGTGTTTTTACCAAAAAATATTAGTGAAATGGATATATAAATTATTACAGAATAAACGTGATGATGAAACGTATCTAGTTCCAAAACGTCGTTATTAAACATCTTCAAAAAAACAAATTGTTTTTTATTATTGGATTTACTGTTTGGAAAAGAAACAAAGAATATATTGAAAAAATCAAGAACTTATTTATTGAATATATATATATATATATATATATATATATATATATATATATCTTAAATATTGATTTTCAGCCAATCGTCGAAATAAAAGAAAGCAAAAAAAATAAAATATTTATTTATAATATACGTTTCGATACAGATTGTATCTAATAAATAGTAATTCTAATAAATATAGAAGTAATAAATTTGAATTTAAATTTTAAAATAATTAAAGAATAAAAGATATACATACCACACCAGGAAAAACTATTTTTTGATAATTACATATAGAAAATAAACCAAACATACATTACATATAAAATAAATATAGGAACTAACATTATAAGTGAATATGTTTAGTTTTTAAATTTAAAACTGAAAATTAAAAACAAAACATGTTCACATTTGGTAATGTTAGTAGTTGTAACAAGTTTTGACGGAGATGATATATTGATATAAGCATTAATTTGATAATTAAGAACTTCACAAAGTTATTGAATCACAGTAAAAAATACCAAGAAAAAAGTATAAGCTTTGAAATGATGCAATTAAAAAGTTGTCCGCATAACCACTGTGTTAGAAAATACAAAACGAAATATTGATTACACTTTTTCATACGCTATCAAAAAATTATTTAACAATGATCGTTATAAATAAAATCGCGAACTATATGAGTACAAACTATTTTTTTTATATATTTTAGAGTTTTGATAGAACGTTATAGCTTGATTACAATATTTCATTCTCATATTTTCAGTGATATCTTTGCTAAATTATGAGGTACGACATTAAAAATTTGTTAGTCGAATATTTTCCGACAAAATCTATAAATATCGGATATTTTTACAAAAAGCTATTAAAATTCGTATAAATAGTTTAAACGAGTGGGCCAAACCGCGATCGTTGCTCAAAATACTTCACTTATATAAAAACAAATATATTTTCATTGTTTACACATATCAACAATATTTGTTAATCTATAGTATATGATCTAACTATACATGTAAAAGAAGACATAAAATATTGAATTAGATTTTGCAGCGAACTTACCCAAATATCTGGATTCACAATAATTTCACATAGTACTACAATGCTGCATTAACTACATGCATTATTGAATCTTTGCACGTATGTATATGATGGCAAATATATCTGTATTGTGTATATCTAAGTAATATTCCAATACTATGAATGCAATATATAATGCAACCTTATGCAAGTGGAAGAAAATATGAAATATCGAATAATATTTTACAGCGAGCTTAGCCAAAAATATTGATTCACAATATTGAATTTATCATCGTACTGTAAACTTTGCAAATCTTATTCGTACCATTAAAGATTTATTCATATAATGACAAATATGTATGTTGTATACATCTATAGGCAGTAATCGAATCCTATAAATGATTCTACATTTATCCAACATGAATCCAACTATATGGAAGAAGAAGAAAACGTAAAATATCTAAACAGATTTCATAGTAAGTTTACCTAAATATATCGATTCACAATAATAAATTGATCATCAGCAATTCATCAGCATTGCATATATACGTATTATTAATATCTTACTCATAAAATGACAAATATATCTATATTACATACACCTACAAACGATGTTCGAATCCTATAAATGTAGTATAAATCGCTACTGCATGCAAGTCAATGAACACAATCAGGAATCAAATTTCACAGCGAGTTTACCCAAATACGTAAATCGATTCGCAATATTTAATTTATGATGATATTGCAAATGTACTTTATTTTTAATGTGACAAATATATCTATTGCACACATCTATAGATGTTATTGGAATCTCAAAAACGTGGTATATAATTTAACTACATGCAAATGAATTAAAACATGAAACAGAAATCGGATTTACCCAAATAAATCGATACAATATTGAGGGTATCATCGAACTGCTGTTTAGAGTAGTGTAAGTACTAGGGTTTATACAAAAACCGACATTTCAGAAAACCGGTTTCAAATTTTATTTTCACTAAACAACCAGTTTTAACCGGTTTTCGAATTTTATATAGAAAATAAATTTTTGCTCGAATATTCTGTAATTTATCCGTAAATTTAGTATAATTTAGCAGTATATGACAGAATTTATTTATTGTTTAGTTTTATAGATAAGAAATAAAATTATTTTAATTTTAATTATTAGAACTAAAAAATAATAGTTTATCTTGATTAAATAACTTTGAAAATATTTATTCGTTATTCATGCATTATTTTCACATATAAGGATAAAAATATGTTTATGATAGTGAAGAAGTTTGTGAATAAATAAAAATAATACATTAGTAAATAACAAAAATTCATTAAATTAAAAAAAAATAAAAAAACAATTAGATACATGTTGATACATACTTGTTAATATCAATTTTAGTTTTAAAAACAATTAAGCTAAACTCGGGTATTGTCTGTTTCGAGCAATTTTAATTAATAATTTTAAACATTCTTTTTCATTGTTCTTTCATTGTTTTTTTGTTTAATGAAATATGATTTCGAAAAACTGAGAACGTCTATCGATGTGCTACTTAGACGTATCAATACTCTCATACTTGCGACCAAATTATGCTTAATTGTATTTAAAGCCTGATATTATAATTCTTGTTTTTGTTCTTTAATTTGTGGCTTCTAGGGTTTAAAATTCCTTTTTTAAAGTTTGAGTAGAGGAAGTTACTTACTTCTTCAAGAAGTCCCACTGATTTAAATTAGTATATACACTGGTATAAAAATCTAAATTAAGCATTTCTGGGAACCATTGCAGTCTGACATCAAATTCTATTAAACCTTTATGATTTCAAGAATCAGAACGCTTTCATCTATCTTTTACATTTGGCTATATTTGTCATTTTCCATTTATACAGTCAAAGCCGATTTTTTTTTCAATAAAAAATCGGTTTTCGAATTCTATAATTTTCGCCAAAAAAACGGGGTTTAAAACCGGTTTTTGAAAACCGACAAACCCTAGTGAGTACTTCACTCATATAAAACAAATATATCTATATTGCGAAGATCTATAGCCAATATCCGAATCCAACGAATTTAGTAAAAATATACAAGTAGAAGAAAAGGTGAAAGAGTAAGTAAGATTTTCTATTACAAATGCAATTTTATCCTTGAGGAAATTAATAATAAAGATGTACAATAATATTTATTATTTGCCATGAACCTGCTATATTAGCTACTGCCAACTCAAAGCCAGTTGTTCAAATATTTAACTTTATAGCTTGTATTAACACAAATCCGGGAGTACTGCAGATTTCATGTTACAAGTGCAACATCTCCAAATTGCCCTGCACATATTCAAGTTACTACGGCAAATTTGTAGCACAAAATAGTGAATTTAATAGAATGTAATGATATGAACAGTAAGCCGCCTCATCTTGTTCCTAGTGAACTTTACTCTAGTAAATATGCAGTAGTGATATTGTATTTTATTCAAAATGTAGATCAGAAGTATGTTTTCAACTGAAAATTTTCCTTCAGATTACTGTTGCGCAGAGGAATATGTAAAAATGAATACAATAAAATTTCAATGTAGTACGTTGAATAGAATAAAGTCACCCACGCTGCACTTTTATAATCCAGTTGCATTTTAACACAACCCACGGCTCAACTTTGGCAAAAGTTTCCATTACAAAAATTGATATATGTAATGAAAAGTGATTATGAAATACGTAAAAAAGAGTGGTAAGTGATGAAATGTAAATATGTGAAGAAAATGAATGTGTAATATAAAATTACAGAAAACTATTGGAATTTGATTTATCGTGTCTCAAGGTAAATTGTTGAAACTTCCCGTATTGTAATAAAAAGAAAATAATCAATAATTATTTTGAATAATTTCGAATACATTATTCATTATAAATAATACATACTAAAAGTTCATAATTGCTTTGGGCGACAAGCGTATTCAACATAAATGTGTGTATGTTTATAAGAAATTTGTTAATTTTTTTTAATATGATTTTTTTATTTTCTGAGAATTTGAAAATTTTTGAAAATATTCGATATTTTGAAAAAAAATTTTAAATTTTGATAGTTTTTAATTTTTTCCAGATTTAGATTTTTTTGAAAACGATAAAAAATTTCGAAAATTTGATTTTTTTGAAACTAAGTTTTTTTTTAAATATTGTAATTTTTTTTGAAAATTTTTAAAATTAGAAAATTTTTTGTAAAAGCATTTTCTGCACACCGTCTACACAAGCAAAAGGTTTTTCGAATTAATCTAATCGGACCACCCGTTCTCTCAAAAACTGCATGACTATTTTTACACCCAATCCTCCGAAACGGCTCTATACCTTCATACAGATTGGTTATTCCATACT